TTGCACTAAATGGAGCACATATGTATATACAGCGCAGGGCAGGGGAAACAATTGCACTTATCTAATGTGGGGAGAGAGAGCGCGGGAGAGAGGGCGAGAGTGTGGGAGGCAGGAGTAGGTGGGGTATATATAGGCGCAACATATGGTCTCAGGGTCATGCCGACTACCGCATTACGAATTCAATTTTTTTTTTGGAGGGGACACAACTGCTAATGGAGGGAGAATCATTATTGTGGAGGTGTGTGAGCAAATGCATATGCCACCTAAAATAGGAAAAGAACGCAAGGAAAATACAGAAGCGTAGAGCAAAATTCGAAGAGCGAAAAGCCTTTGCCCGTGTGTCGAATAAATATTGAGTTGAGTCAGGTGCCACTGCAGTTGAGCAGCTCAGCTCAGCTGAGCAGAGCGCGCGCCCCAAAGCAATTGCTAATCTCTTGTAGTAGTCGGGACCCTAAAGTAGAGGAACGCTTTATCATGTTCAAGTTATACGGATATTATGAGTTCAAAATTTGTTTTATTTATCGCTAGTTCGGCATGTCGTGCGAGGCTTTTGCTATTTCGCATTCAGTCTCTGGCCGATTGCGACATCGAAATGCGACATAAAAGTTCAACGTGCCAATTTATTTGCGGTCTGCTCTGTGCAAACGATTCGAGGTCTCTCCTTATTCTGCTTCTTCTACTATATAACATCGTAAAAAAAATATATATATATATGTATAAATATATATATATATATATATATATGTATAAATATATATATATATATATATATATGTATAAATATATATATATATATATATATATATATATATATATATATATATATATATATATATATATATATATATATATATGTATATGTGTGTGTGCGTGTGCGAAAGTTTCAATCCCATAAATTCGTGTTTTTCGCCTGACAATCGATATGATAAGCGGACAATCGATAGATTAGTGCTAATCGTATATTATAAATCCTATCGAAAGTGCATTTGATTTATATAACAATGCTTCAACATATTCCTTCAAGTGATTTATCTAATCTTTATGCTCTGAAGCCAATAAGATATCGAGCGATAATTCAAATTTCATCATATTCAAAAACAGTTCGTCAGCTCTTTCTCTTCGCATAGGTCAAGAAACTGCGAGACGCGATAAAAGTGTTTGATAAGCCTACCTGGATATAATCTAAATCTAATCTGAATAAAAATCTATATAAGCTCAATCTGAAATATGACTTGAATTTTAATTTATATCTTGGCCTCACGTCATGCTGACTTTTCATATTGAGCTTGACGGAGGAAGGAATCTGAACCATCAACTAGCCTTAAAGAGAGACTAAAAATTGGGAAGTCTAAAAGATTCTTAATATTTAAATATTTAAATAATCTTTTCTGTACACATGGGAATAATTGTTAATTTAATAATTTATTAACAATGTTTTATATAAAACTAAAATAATAACAAAAATATTAAATTATAGTACAAAAAAATAAAAATAAATAAAGTAAAAATGAAACAAAAATAATAATAAGAATAAAAAGCAAAACAGGAAGCAAAAACATGAAAAATAAAAACAAATAGTCAAATGACAAAAATATAAAAAAAAAAATTTTAAGAAAACTATAAAATAAACTAAAAAATAAATAAAAGTTACAAAATATAAATGGACGTATAAAAAGTAAAAAAAAAGTAAATATTAAAGACAATGTATAATAAATCGTTTAAAAAATTAAGAAAAGAAATTAAACAAATAATTTTATTATTATTATAAAAACAGAAAAAAAATCTAAAAAAAAAATTAGAAGAAAAAAATTACTCAAATAACACAAATGAATGAGAACAAATATTTATTAAAATCCATTAAAGGCCAAATTTTTAATATATTATTTATTAATATTAATAATATTATTTATTGTTAATATATTATTATATATTTATTAATAACAAGGAAAGGCAAACCTTTTTTTTATTTTAAATTTTTTTTATACGAATTGGTTTTTTTTTTTGTAAAAATGATTTAAGTTAATAATTGGAAATTTGTTTATAAAATCTATAAAATTAGCATAAAATAATAAAATTTAAAATAATAAATATAAATTAAATAAAATTCAATAAAAATCGATTTAGAACCCCGCTTCCTAAAGCGTAGTTCGATAACTGTTAGAGCAGTAGACCTTGATGTCGCCATTTAGGTAATGGAAAGTGCTATTGCTCCAATTCCTTAAATTGTAATTTCAGGAAATAATGCCACACCTGCGATAGCAGGTAATGCGAACAAAAGGTGCACTTGAATTAAGAGACGACCTTTCCAACTCCTGACACGCAATTTGTCAGCTGCAAATTGAAATTGAAATTGAAAAATGGAAATTGAAATGTGGCCGAGGGTCGCTTTTGAGATTGAGGAACGAGGGTCCCAGCGAGGGCAGCTCCAAAGAGCTTTCTGTGGGGTAGCACAGCTCGTTTTCCAATCATGTTATCAGAGGGCGACCTTGTCCATGAATATTTAATTTTTTCCATTTTTACCATTTTTACTTGCGTTGTTTTTCGCCCTTTTGTTTTTGCTTTTGTTGTTGAAAATTGACAATGAGGTCGAATTGTAAGCAAAGTTTTTCATTATCGCCTCAGTCAGACAATGGAGAGGCCACTGAACTGACGACTCGATTGTGTTCACCTGTTTACCCAAGCAAATAATCATAATATATACGCCCAACTACATATATATCTATATATATATATATATCTATATACTATATATCTCCATATGTGTGTATATGGAACCCACTCTTATCGCAATAATTTGGTCAATACGCTTCGTTGCGCTGTTCTCTCTGTGACTCTATCTCTATTCATATACATGCCCAAAGATCGGGAGTTTAGCAATTATTTAAATAGAGCAAATGGAACAAGTTTTTTTTGTTGTTGATTTTGGGCGTCTTCTTACAGACTGCGTTCTATGTTAGTTTGTTGAAGCTTAGAAAGCGTTACGAGTTCGTTTTTGGGGCTTTGTCTTATCTAAAAGCAAATTATTTGTGATCTACTTAAGCACTATTATGATACATTATATCATTACATAGTCCATGCTCATTAGGAACCGAAAGCAAATATGCGAGCTCTAAAGTCTTTGCGTTAAGTTCTTTTTGGAATTCTTATTTAAATTGACAAATTGTAATTCTCCTTCATAATACTCTATATTCCTTTAAGAAGTGTGTAAACAGCGAGAGGCACAAAGCTTTATTGAAAACTGCTTTCAATACTTTAGTAACTCCGTGGAACCTCTTAACTACGTCATTTGATTGTCGAGAGTGGAGAGCCTTGGACTTGACTATGACATGACTATGCTCTACTATTTTATATGTTTTTCTAGTCTACATTTCCTCTCTCTTTTTCTTTGTCTCTATATCTCTCTCTCCCAGTTTGTCTGACTGCCTGTATCTTTTGCTTCCTTACTCGGTATACTCTACTCTCTACTCTCTACTCTCTACTCTCTACTCTCTACTCTCTACTCTCTACTCTCTACTCTCTACTCTCTACTCTCTACTCTCTACTCTCTACTCTACTCTCTACTCTCTACTCTCTACTCTCTACTCTCTACTCTCTACTCTCTACTCTCTACTCTCTACTCTCTACTCTCTACTCTCTACTCTCTACTCTCTACTCTCTACTCTCTACTCTCTACTCTCTACTCTCTACTCTCTACTCTCTACTCTCTACTCTCTACTCTCTACTCTCTACTCTCTACTCTCTACTCTCTACTCTCTACTCTCTACTCTCTACTCTCTACTCTCTACTCTCTACTCTCTACTCTCTACTCTCTACTCTCTACTCTCTACTCTCTACTCTCTACTCTCTACTCTCTACTCTCTACTCTCTACTCTCTACTCTCTACTCTCTACTCTCTACTCTCTCTCCCTCTCCCTCTCCCTCTCTCACTCTCTTCCCTAGTTCCTGTCTAAAGCCAGACACATAATTAATATTATCTGAAGTGTAAAAAATAATATTTATTATGGTTTATTAAGTCTTTGTCGGTCGAGGCCTAACTAAAGCAATCTTCAAGGTGCTGAAGTCTATCGTATCGCTTAAACCGAGTGAAAGCAAGAACAAATTGTAGCCTTAATGCCGCTAAAGCTTGCGCAAGTTCTTTTCGCGATCCAAACATAGAGAGAGAGAGGGAGTGGGAGCGAACGCTATCAAGAACTGTACTATATACGCTTACAAATTATATTTTATATATAATATATATACATATTTATGATATTTAGTATATAGACATGTGCATAATAACCCCAGTCAGGGACAGACGGGGTTTCTCATTGCTCGATTGTCGGCTGAAGTTGTTTTTTTGGTTTGGTTTGTTGTTGGCTACCGTCGAGCGATAAGACATGTGAGTGTGTGTGTGTGTGTGCGTGTGTGTAGAGGAGTAGGTTGTGCGGTCTGTCAGTTGTTATAAGCAAACATTTTGAACGCATTTGCAGAGCTGGCCGGAAAGGCAAGTCGAGGAAAAAGAAGCAAAAACAGACCAAAGCAATGTGAATAATACCAAAAAATGAAAGTAACGCCAAACACTAAGGTGCCAACAACAATAATAAAAGGAACAACAATAACAACAGCAACAACATTAGCAACAGCCTCAATAAAAACAACATTAGAATACGAATCAGAACCTATTATAGATACAGCCAAAGCGGAAAGATCCAGTGCAACAGCCAACAGCTCCGCGCCCGCCTCGTTTGTGCTCAAATGCTTGTTGCGTACCGCGCGATTTATGTGGCAAGTGACAACGATACCCTCTAAAATTGGTGATACCATAGGCACACTGTACCGCTATGCCCAGGACTCGGTCGATACATTTCTATGCGTAGCTGGGTGAGAACTTCGCTAGGCCTATCATAAATCAACTACATACATCTATATATATATATATATATATATGCATAGCTATGTCTATATTCGTGTTCCGATTCCATTTGCTAACAATACCCTGTCTTTTTTGTGTCTCATTGCAGAAAGGCGCGTCGCAAAGAGCGCGATGGCGATCAAAACTCAACAGACACCAAATTGTATTTGGAGGAGAGCGTCCTTGAACGCAAACTACCTGAAGCTGATCTCAAAGCCCTTGTCGATCTTCCAGCTGGGTTGGACTACAATGAATGGCTAGCCTCACACAGTAAGTTATGGAGATCAAAAGATACCCTGTATTTTTGACGCAAGCTTGAAAAGGGCATACATAAGTAGAGCACTTATCAAGTGTATTTTATAAACACTCGGTCTACCTAGCTAAGTAGGAGATATTTGATTTTTTGCCATAGCTTGATATAAGTTTTAGTAGATATCTCTGATCAGGTATACTTGTTTGAAAACTACAGTACAATGACTTTAAAGATATGTTCTATGAGATAGCATGAGCTGATTACTACCCTGGTAAATGACTAGCGAGGTGTATTAAATTGCGCATGTTAAACTTACTTTTATTTTGTTAAAGTACAACTCAAGAGTAAATAGATCCATTAAGTTTAAGTTCCTGTTGATGTACTATAAAATAAATGAAGTCTTACAGTGTATATTCTAGAAATAATATAGTGTGAGAGAACTTAATTCAAATAAGTGTTCAGGAAATTAAATCATGTATTTATCTTGAATACCCTACATATTTAGTGAGTGACCAATAAGGGTATATTACAGCTGTGCCTAAGTTGGCAGTTAATAGGAACATATATCTAGATATATCTGAACCTAAAAGGTAATCTAAGGAAAGTATTGGATATTTCTTATATATTGGATAGCAATCTGTTAAATAAATAATTTTTGTTATAGTTATTTTATATATATATCATTTATATTTATTTAATTTAATTTATTTATTATTTCCTAATATTTTTTATTATTCCATATTTAACTTTTTCGTGAGCCGTTTCTCCTCTAAGTGCAGGGTATCTCTCAGTCTCATAGTCAACTCTACTTATCTCGCAGTCCAACACTCAATTGCTACCCGTACTCACCTGTTGATTGTGTGCGTGTTTCTTTCACGTGATATTCGCTTTATGATTTACTCGAATTGTTTGTCCATTCATCTATAAATTGTTGTTAGCTTTTTGTTGTTTTGCTGCCGTGTGATTATAAATGTTTGATAGGCAAGTCGTTCGGTATTTGAACCTCGTGACTTCTGGCCACACGGAGATCAGTTTGTAGCTCTCATTCGCGGCTGATTCAACTAACTGGGCTTAGAACGTGCCGATTGGCTGTTAACAATGGGAAGCTGCCTTCCAAAAGGCACAGCTAGAGATATCGCCTAAAACTTGAATGGATGCAGCTCAACTGAGGCCTCTTACCTGGCATTTAACTTATACATTATAAGCCTACTTCGCCTCTTATAACAGACAACTGTTTGGCGAGCAGAACAGGTGCAAAAGTCGACTGACCTGCATAAAGATATTCTACATTAGGAAATGAAATCGATGCCTCTTCAGTTTCTGTCCGTTTATCTAGAGCCGTATTAGAAAATGTTGCAAACTATAATAGCTAGGCACTTGAAATATAATATATATAGAATTTTATAGCTTTTATCTCAAATTAAAGTATCGATAAATATCGATATATCTGCTTGTCAAATGTAGAACCGCATAATTTGGTATATAACTTTTTCTAATGAATATTTAATTTGAATATAAATGAAAGAATGAAATGAAAGCCAATATACTTGCCTTTTAACTCGTGAACGAGTATTCAAATTCGCTATTCTCCAATAATTACCTTGAGATAAGTCGCTATTAAATTGCTCGGTCGTTTTCTACTCTGATGAGCTCAAGATTAAGAATGACTTAGGAATCAAATTGTATGGTGTAAGCATTTAAATGCCTTAGAACAATTATATAGGTCTATAAACCCAGTATTATATGAGTCTTAAGTGTCTACAGCAATTATATTTCGAGACTTGCAAAACTGAAGACCTACCTTAAGCTGGAGCACAGGTTCGAGGTCTAGATCGAGACGTGTCGCGTCGATTGTTTGCTCGTAACTTAGAATTGGAATTACCTGAGCTTAAAATACAACAAAAATTTTTATTTTTATTTTTTCTTTTTTTAGCTACTTGCTTTTATTGTGATAGGTTTCAATTTTTTAGTTTAGAATTTATTACTGTTTTTTCTCTCAGTACTCAAATTTGAATTGTTTTTAAATATTTTAAATTTTTTTTAATTTAAATATTGAAAATATTTTAATTTACCTTTGGTTTGGTTATCTTTTATGAATTCATATTTCCAAGTTCAACTAAATTTCATTTAGTTTTTCCTTCCCATTTATTTTTTATTTATTTATTTTAATGAAAGCATTTTTTCTAAGCTTACATATTTCATAAATATTTCAATTGAACTTTAAAGTTGATCAAACTTAAATATCCATCAAATGTTATTCTCTGGGTAAACAATCAAGAGCGCTCGACTATGGAATACCCGAGCTAAATGAAATGAGCTTGTATCAAATGAAACAAATGTTGTATCTTCAAGTCTATCGTTTGCTTATCTAAATTCAAGTCAAAGTTAAAGTAAATGTTTCCTAAGTATCTCTAGTTGCAATCGCCTCAATATGCCAAGCGAATTCTAATTAAGCCTTGGACTTACGTCCTTCTGCTGTGCTCCAGTTAATCACTCTGTGGGTGGTCCTAAATATAATTGGAAATACTAGCTTACATCATTGGCATGATTATCCACATCATCATCGCCGTCATCTCTGCACTCGTGTTCTCGCACCAATTTGTCAGATATTACATCATCCTGTGTTAATCTCATCGAAAATAATGATAGGTACGCAAATAGAAATTAACGCACTAGAAGATGCCGTTTGCAGCCTTTAGAATAATTGGCACTGTTTCAGCAGAATGTAACGTGGCATCATACCCCTGGCAACCGCCTCCGGCTCTGCTACGCCTTTGATTATAAATTTTCTTAATAATCGACTGCAAAGTGCCACCAGCTGGGGGCGGGGGTCGAGAGGTCACATGGTAAACAATCGGGGCAGAAGTTGACTTCATACAGATAGAGGAAAAATAAATACATGCATACGAAGAGCAAACACATGTATTTAAATATATATATGAGTATATATACTTATGCCTTGCCCCTATCCATTAAAAATGATTTCATTGGCCAAGTCATTTCAATTCTTCCCCTCGTCCGCCTCGTTCTGTGTGCATCTCTTTGTTCAGCGCATAATGCAATTTGGACTGACGTAATGCAGGAAAATTATCGCCCACCCATATTCGAAGCGATTCCCTTTTTTCTCTCTGACGCCCAGTTGTGCCAATATTGAGTTAACATTGACCTATTAAACGATACTTCGAGCGTGCCTCTGAAGATAAAACTTTGACGAGCTGTCTGTCGCCGACCCCCAGCTGTGTGTTTCAATGTCAAGTTTATACAAACACAACTGTCACTCAAATAAGAGGAGAAGAGGAAGAAGAAGCATGGGAAAGTGGAAGAGAGTGGAACAGAGAAAGGGTGACAAAGTGAGAGACAGAGAAGGAGAGGGCTGATAAAGTGTTCACTATGAATTTGTTTGTGGTTAAGAGTAGAATGGAATCAGGTATTATATAAATATATGTATATAGAGAAAAGAAATTGTTCAAAAAATGATATTGAGGTTAGTTCAAGATTTGGGATTACGAAACTTTTAAAGAAGAGAAAACAGAAAAATAAGGGAATATGCCGATTAGTGATATGGAGATACAATCCGTCCTGCTGTCCTACTGTAGATCAGTAAATATTTAAAAAATTTAAATATACAAAATTAATTGACTAAATAATAATATTTAATATTTTAATATAATTCAATTGATTTATACAAATGTAACCCCTGAGCTAAAACTAGTTAAAGCAAAGGTTAAATTTGGTTACCAGAAGAACTTGAGTTCAGCGCAAATCGGTCATATTATTTTAGAATACCCTTACTTTTGTGTTTTAATTCACGTTGAATACCCTTACATTATTTTACATATATTTCTTAAATGATACTTCTTGAATAGTCGTTAATTAGTATTTTTTATATATGACCTTTCTGGAATGCCGCTACTTAAGTTGTCTTTTTTTTGTATATATTCTATATATGATCTATCCTGACTGCCCCTACTTAGATCATCTCCAATAACTAATTTACACAGAAGTATTTTCTCTAAATTGCCCCATCGTATCTTATTCTATTTTGGAATACCCTTACATCATATATTCCTTTTCTATTTCAAACATGAATACCCTTACTTATGACATATACCCCTTGCATCTTACAGCTCTGGCTCTCTTCGAGCACGTGAACTTGGTCTATGGAACTATTAGTGAATTTTGTACACAATCCGGTTGCGCCGACATGACCGGACCGGGCAACAGGTGAGTCTTGCGTGAAATATCGATAAATATCGAGTGAGTTCTGATTGAATTTGCTTTGCCTTGCAGAACGTACTTATGGTTCGATGAGAAGGGTAAGAAGACGCGGGTCGCAGCGCCGCAGTACATCGACTATGTGATGACCTTTACGCAGAAAACGGTCAGCGACGAGTCGATCTTTCCAACCAAATACGCGAACGAGTTTCCGAGCTCGTTCGAGTCGATCGCCCGAAAGATTTTACGCTTGCAATTTCATGTGATAGCGCATCTGTATGCGGCGCATTTCAGAGAAATCGCGCTGCTCGGCTTGCACACCCATTTAAATTTGACGTTCATGCACCTCACAGCGCTGCATCGCCGCTTCAATCTGATCGACGAAAAGGAGACGGACGTGCTGCGCGACCTGGAGGTGGCGCTCCGATTAACCGACGACAACAGCGTCTGCGGTCAGGATTCGCAAACCGATTCCGGCTCAGCATCCGCCTCCGCCTCTGTCTCGGTCTCTGCATCCAACTGTGAGCAGCAGCAGCAGCAACAGCAACCGCAGCAGCCGCACAACAACAGCAGCAGCAACAGCAACAGCAACAATAGCAATTCCTCTGCCGAGGCGCTGCATGTCAATTCACAAAGCAGCTGTGGCACTTCGCTCATTGATGGCGATGCCGCTGCCACGCCCATTTGCACGCAACCGGAGCCGGGCGCAGCCGGCAAGCCGCCCGGCAGCGGCGGCCTACTGGGCGGCATTCTAGGTGATTTAACCAGCGGCGAATTTGGTGATACAACGCGCTACTGCACCTCGGCAGTTCCTCCTCATGCAACGGCAGCAGCAGCAGCAGGCACTGATGCCAGCGGCCACACATTGCCACCGAATGGGGCAACAAACGGTGCGGCCGGCGCATTACATTTAAATTTTAGCAACAATAACAGCAACAACCACAATTTGAATCACTTGAACCACCATCATCATCACCACACCCATCACCATCATCACCACCATCATCCGCACACTCATCTGCACCACCTGCATCAGCATCATGCGACGGCAGCAGCGGCGGCGGCGGTGGCTGCGTCGCCGACTCCGCAGCACAGCGGGCTCATACAGTGCAATGCAGCGGGCGCTGCGACAGCGGCGGTGGCGTCGGCATCGGCGTCGGCAGCAGCAGGCGGTGGCAGCGGCAACAGCAACACATAGTGTGACAGCAGCAGCAGCAACAACAGAAACAACAACAAACAAACAAAAAAACATTAGAAATACTAGATTTACGCAAAAATGTTATTTAATGTTATTACTTCTATGATCCTAAAGTTGAAAATATTGTAAAAATAAAACAAACAAAAAATACAACAAAACATGCAAATTGTAAAACACAATTATCGATAAGCGTCGATAGTCGACAGTTGCTTAGAGTTCCATACAGCACACACACACTCACACATACGTACAATCTAGCAATTGCTGTGCATTGATAAATGTAAAGAAAGTGCGAGAGAGTAATTTTCTGTTTAGAGTTCGATACAGAACACAGACACACACCCACACACGTACAATCAAGCAGTTGCTGAGAGTACGAGAGAGTAATTTACTGCTTAGAGTTCGATACAGCACACACACACACACACATGTATAATCTAGCAGTTGCTGTGCATAGAAATAGAGAGAGATGTGAAGAGAGCGCGAGAGAGATCTACTGCTACACAAATAACAGTTAAAAGGCATAGCCTAAAAGGCAAATACAGGCACTTAAAAAAACTATAGTAATAAAAGAAAATTATAAGAGAATATAAATGTTAAAGAAGCAAAGAGAAAAACAAAAAACTCACACTTGCAATTTTAAGGAAGCACGGTCACACTGTTTAGCTTTAACAAAACCCAGCTGGAAAGTCCTTCCACACTTTACATACTACTTTTTCTGTTGAGTATTCATTTCTAACAGTTATACCTCAATTAAACTACTATTTAAATGTGTGTAATCGTTATTTGAATACACAAATAATCCAAGTATTTTAGTTTCTTCTCATTCTTATTCTTGAACTTCAACTAAAATAGAAAGTTAGTTTTTCTTTAAATGCTCTGTAAGTAGAATACAATATTGTTATAAACAACCAAGAAAGCTTTACTTTAGCACATGTTATATAAATATATATATCATGCATAGCTCCTTATCTCAACAGTTTTATTTACTTTTTATCAATTCCTTTCCTGTCTTAAACTTTCGCTTCGCAAATTCGTAAAAGCCTAAGCTATTCGAGCACTTGAAACTTGTAGAGTATTTCTATATAGTATAACTATTTCTAAACCAAATCTGAATACACTTGCACACACGCACACACACATTTACTCTTAACTCTCGAAGTCTCTTATAAGCGATACGAATGCAAATTGTATGCACCGAAACGTTTCACGATTCTTTTAAAGAATATTCGCACCCGTTTATATTAGGTGTAGCAAAAAAAAAAGCAAAAAGTAAATATATAAGTGTTGGAAAACGTGCTGAGAATTTGATTGACTTTAATTACCAAATGCAATGAAGCTAATTTACTTTAAAAACTTAACGAAACTATATATGTATATATATAGATATATAAAAGATAATGTTCAGTGTTTACTAGGCTGTTTGCATCTGTGTAGGTGTATGTTTAGATGTATGTGCGTATGTGTATGTGTGTGTGTGTGATATGATTTATGTGCATTAGTTGGGGCATCTTCTCCCTAGTTAGTAGTCGAAACGCCCTCCTTTCCCCAGAGCCATTTGCAGCTCACTGAACAGTCCAGGCTTTAGCTAAACCAAAAAATCCTATCCAAATACATTTTAGAACCGTTGAAACCAAAAAACCAAAACAAAAACAAATTTTGAACTATTTATTAAAAACATCCATTCAATGAAATGCTATGGGAAATGATAGAACAGGCAAAATATAGTGCGAGTTTCCAACCGGGACTTCAAGAGAAAGAAAAGATACATTTTATTATAAAAAGACAAAACGAAAAACAAAAGAAAAAGAAGAAATAAAATTAAAAACAAAAATAAAATGCAAAATGATAATAAAATAAACTGTTATGTTCAATTAAAAAATGAGAATGTGTATTTTTATTAGAAAATGAAAATGGGAAATATTCATCTGGATTTTTTGTCATTTATTATTTATTATTTTTATACATATGAAAGGGTTACATTAATTAAAACATTGAAAATCATCGGTTGGCCAAACGCCAATGTATATCCGTATATATAGGTCTATCCATGGAGGAGGAGGTCAATTGCGATCTATCTTCATGAACGATAATAAACGCTCAACAGCTTAAAAGTATGTGATGCTTTTAGAGTTACGTATATTCTTAAAAAAATATTGACAGAAAGTTAAGACTAGTGGAGCCCGTCTCTTCTTATCTCATATCCTGGTTTGCACTACTGTGAAGCTTACAAGGTATGCTTGAACATTGTACGATCTATCCTTAAGTTAAAAGATATGATCATCTATGTAATGATAAAATCCCGTTATTTTAATTGTTTTTTGGCGAATTTAGAGAGAAATAGCAGCGCTGGACATAAAAAGTTCAGAAAAGTCCAGAAAACTTACTATTCGTGTCCTATAAATACTTATTTTTCTTATATTTATATTTTATCATTGTATTATATTTTTATTATATTTGTACATATTTGTTTGCATTTTTATTATATATATATATATATATATATATATATCTTTTAAACTTTTATATTATATATATTTTTCTTCTTCTCATATTTACAATCATACATGAAAGGAATTTATATTTGCCTTATTCAACGTTTTTCCAAATTGTCAGCAAGTTTATCTTGCAAATCTGAGAACTACACAAAATTATATTATTAATATCAATTAAATTATGCCACATGCATACACACACAAACACATTACATACGCTTATATACACATTTGCATAAGTATGAGTAAATGATCATCCCATTCCATTTCCAGTTCCACTTTAAGTTCGAATAGTCTTGGCGAATAGTAAATACTCTGGCTAATGCAATAATTAACTAGCTGTTGAAAGCTGAACTAGCAAATCAAAGTGATTGCATCGAGTATAGTTGTTAATTGCTTTGTTATAGTAATCCAATAATCCAATCTACCCGACATTTGAGGACTTCACTAGAGTATACAATGTATATATAACATAAGACATAGCTGCATTTGTAGTGTATACGAATTTGCCTTGCTTCAGCCCTCATCTCTCTCTCTCTCTCTCTCTCTCTCTCTATCTCTCTTTCTCTTAATCTCTGTTTGATCTCACTCGCGTAATGGGCGAATTATTCGTTTTCGTTTCGCTCCAAGTTTAGTTGAACGCTGCGGTCGAAGCTAAGCGGTACTTAGGCGAAACTGAATTAGTGACTGGAACATTCTGATTGGAAATCAGTGATACGACGCAATGACACGCTTGGGGCGGGCATTTCTAGTGCTGTTTGTTTGGCTATTCGCTGACAGCTGGGCACAGTCGCCGGGTCGTCGCACCAGGTATGAGCCCAATTGGGATAGCTTAGATCAGAGACCGTTGCCTAGGTGGTACGATGAGGCAAAGGTGGGCATATTTCTGCATTACGGCGTCTACTCTGTGCCGAGCTTTGGCTCTGAATGGTTCTGGACCAACTGGATAAGTGAGTGTGTAGCAAGCATAACTAAATACGTATATCTATATGCAAATGTTGTCTCTAGATCTACGCAATCCGGACTATATACGCTTCATGCAGCGTAATTATAAGCCCGATTTCACCTATCAGCAGTTCGCAGATCAATTCACAGCGGAGCTCTTCAATGCAACGCAGTGGGCGTTGCTCTTCAAAGACAGCGGAGCAAAGTGAGCTCCGTTAGTACCAGATCTATTCAGTTATTATAATGTTGATTTCTATATCTATTCAGATATGTTGTGCTCACCAGCAAACATCACGATGGCTACACTCTGTGGCCGTCTAAGCACAGCTTCGGCTGGAACTCGGTCGATGTGGGACCCAAACGGGATATTATCAGTAAGTCATATCAATAATTGATTATAAAATTTTACAATAACTAATTTCATAGAGGAGCTGGCGGCTGCTGTGCGCAGCGTCTCGGATCTGAAGTTCGGGCTGTACTACTCGCTCTTCGAGTGGTTCAATCGACTGTGGATCGATGACAAGTTGCACCTGCTGCTGCAGCAGCACTACGTGGACTACAAGGTGCGCCCGGAGCAGATGGAGCTTGTGCAGGAGTATTTGCCGGAGATCCTTTGGTCAGACGGCGACTGGGAGGCGCCAGCCAAATACTGGAAATCGGAGGAGTTCATCGCTTGGCTCTACAACGACAGTCCAGTTAGGGAGACGATTGTCACGAATGATCGCTGGGGCTTCGGCACTGCCTGCATGCATGGCGACTTCTACAACTGCGCCGATCGCTTCAATCCAGGTGTGCTGCAGCGACACAAGTGGGAGAACGCCTTCACCTTGGATCGCACCAGCTGGGGACAGCGTTTCGATGTGACCTTGGCGGACTTCATGAGCTCCAAGGATGTCATCAAGGGTATGGCTAGGCGGATGGAGCAGTCCTTAATGAACTTTTTCTTAAGCAAAGATATTTTATAGAAATCGTCACGACGGTCAGCTGCAATGGCAATGTCTTGATCAATGTGGGACCCACGAAGTATGGCACGATCCTGCCCATCTTCGAGGAGCGTCTGCGAGACATGGGCCGCTGGCTGCGCATCAATGGCGAGGCCATCTATGGCAGTTCGCCGTGGATCTATCAGAATGATACGCTAACGCCGCATGTGTGGTACACCCAGGGCAAGGAGTCGAATACAGCCAAGGCCGTCATCTATGCAATTGTGCTCGAATATCCTTTCGATACAAACGAACTGGAGATCTATCCACTGGGCAAGGACATCAACGTCTTTCGCAATATCTTGCTCACTGGACTGGACTTTGGCGTGGACAGCGATGTCTTAAATAGACAAACCACGCAAATATCGCTGCTGGGCATGGAGGATACCGAATTAACCGTAAATATTCTCTATAATAATCCCTGTTTAAATATTCGAATTATCTTTTATCAATTCTCAGTGGACCGCAAGTCACAATAAAGTGCACATAGTGTTTCCACCCAAGCATCATATTGATAAGCGTGGACTAGAATATGCATGGACTTTTAAAATAACCATAGTTTAAGTTAAAAATTATAAATATAAAAATGATATATGTTTTTGTAGAACAAATATAAATTTAAATTATTCGTGTTTAAATATTTCCGCCTTAGCTGTTGGTATCTTTTTAGTATATTTTTGTTTGATGCATTCGGTCACACGTTTTCATCGTTTGTGTTGATATATCGTTCAGTCATCCATCTCTAGTCCGATTGGCACAACAAACGCGAAAAGTTGCAATTCCTGGCGCTGGTTTTTCCTTGCACATCGCATCAAGTAAATATTTATAATTTTATGCGTGAATTGTGTGAGAGTGCTCAGTAAGCTCAACTACATCAAGTGCTTAACGAAAAGTGCAATCGTAGTACAAAGAAAAATTGAATTGTGAACAAGTGTAGGGGCAGCAAAATACCCATACAAAAAATGTTTAGAGCGTGCGCATACCAAAGGGAGCGATTTAAATAGTGAGAGAGAGAGGGCAAGAGAGAATGTGTGTGTTTGTATGGGTGTATACGGCGCTCTTATCATTTAAGCGGCAATTGTTTTTGTTGACATTGTCTGTCTGTCAGTTGTCCAGTTGCAGCTGTTGCTTAACAAAATTTGTTTATTTGTTGCAATTTCGAACTCAATTCTATACTCAAATTTCGCTATAAAAATAGACCGCAAAGTGGCATGCGAAGGCCACCTGTCGTATGCACTGCCTGCGTTTGAATACGTCTAGCGTATTCATGCGTGAATTTTAAGGCATAGCTTGGGTTGTTGTTTGTAGCTAATTAACATTGATTTGATGTCTTGCTCGCTGTCTACAATTACCATTGTATTAATTCACTTATTCATATCAATTAATGCGTCATCAATTGCTTGCTCTTTGTGTGCGGAATGAAAGTGGGGGCAAGAGCGAAAGCAAACAAATTGTGTGCGCGCCGTTATGTATGGAGCGTTGCCACCTAGTTGAAATATGTGTATTCTCACTAATAGCTTCAATAGTCACCACTATTACGCTATTAAATTAAAATAGTTTAATATGCGTAAACAGTTATGTAATTAAAATACATTTTGTAATTGAAACAGTCAGCATGTGTTAAGCTTATATTGTTATCAAATTGTTCCGTTCACTTGTTCCGTGAACTCTATGACAACTAGACAACTCTGACAGCTCTCTCCCACAACGGCAACGCCGGTTTAGTGAGCGCGCGCAGCAGCTGATTTGTAGTACTCTCTTCCTCGCTCGAATTTTCTCTCACAATCCGTTGCCATACGTCACTTTTGGCCAAAACACATTAGAGACTGCTGCCGACTCTTTCAGTCTTAACTGTGTCTGTACGGCGTGAGTAAGCCTTTGGATTGCGTATGTCTCGCAGCGTACGACAGCGCGTGTTAAACATTATAATAAGAAACAGTGAGAACAAAGTTAAAAATGTGTAATGATAGAGTTCATTATCAACTGTGAATACGGAAAGTGAAGAACAGCCAATGCAAGTGCAAGTACAAGTGCAAGCGCAAGTGCAGTGAACCAGTCTCAGCGGACGGCGCCCTTGAATGTAAATGCTGTGTGTGTATGTGTGTTGGTGTCTTTGTGCGCCTGTGTGTGTTTGTGTCGCCTGCTGATTCCAAAAATGTTCAATGTAAAAATATAAAAATACACAAACAACGCACGGCTAAAATTCGATTAACAACAAAAGCAACCTTGAAAAGGCAAAACAACGACAGACCTGGCTATTTTTGTGTGTCGAAGTGGAAGTGCTCGAAATTGTATTCCATGCATGCGCTTGTCCAATCAGAAAAACCAAAAGGCAGCAACGGCAACTGAGAGCGCGGCCAGAACAATTGAATATGTCGTCTCATGGTCATTAACACTGCTTGGCTGTGTGTGCGTATGTGTGTATGCGTGCGTGTGAGTGTATTGCTGTGTCTGCTTTGTGCGTGAGTTCTTGACTTCTTTATGTAATTTTCAACATTTCTTTTATTCGACGTAGGCGTGCAGGAATTTGCGTACGCAGCAACGCCAGCGCAGCAGCAGCGAAAAACGTAGCAAGAAAATAGTAGTAGATATTGCTGTGGCAGAATGAGTAGCATGATTTGCAAACATGCCGTGCTCGTTTGTTAATTAACTAATTAAAAAGTGAAAGAAGAGCAAAGTAATAAATAGGTGTTGTAGTCCGAGCCCATAAAATAGAACAGCCAAATTCGCATTAATATGACATCATACGCAAATGATACAACGGCGACGGCAGCAGCCGCAACAACAACAACGGAAGGAGCAGCAACAAATGCAGGAGCTGTAACGCCAGTAGCACCCTTAGCAGCTACAACGCCAGCAACGGCAGTCGGCGCAGCTGCTAAACAAGTGTCCAGCAACAACAGCAATAACAACAGTGAATACAACGAGGACGACAACAACAGCTTGGATGGCCGTGAGAAAGCCGACACGACGCCCGAGAACCTCAAGAAGATTGCCGAGATCATAAACGACAAAGAGGCAGCGACAGCTACGTCAGGCTCACTGTCGCCGCGACTGCAGCATGAGCAGCTTCATACATTGAGCTTCGTAGGACTTGGCGCTGCCATCGATGAGTCAAACACAAAGTTCTGCCTTGGCAAGCCTCCGCCATCGCCGGCCGAAAAAGGTAAGCGCATTGAAAAAGAATCGCAGTTGACGTCGGCGTCAACGTCGCACTTTACAAAAGGCACTCAGAAAGCAGCAACAACCCGAGTGCCATTATTCAGGAACTTGTTGTTGTTGTTTTGTGCTTGTTGCTTGTTGCTTGTCTCTTTTATTTTTGTTGTTGCTTTTAATTTGAATTTTTAATGAAGCTATTTGGCGAGTTTTGGACACGGCTTTAGCGCAAATATTTATTGCACTAGTCATGGCAAACACACAGACGCTCACATAGACACACACACACTCACACTCACACTCATACGCATACACAAAGCATATAACACACCCATAAAAGAACATAATGGCAAAGAGCATTGCACAGTGGGAAGAGTTTAATATATGTGTTTTTTTTTTGTGTTGATAACTTTGATAGTTGTTGATTGATTGAATAAGTTTAATAAATTATATTTAAAATGAGGATATTTAAATAGAAGAAGTTATGTAAACAATTTTATAAGTGTTTTACGTTTAGGGAAAAATCTATAAATGATGACGGAATATTTGTTTTAAGCATATTGCACACATTTTCTAGACTTTCAACATTTTTTCATTTGTTTAATGCATATATATAAATATATATAAACTGAACCTGAACATCTAATCAAGCGTGCGTAAACTTTAATCAATTTGAGCACAAGGCCACAAACAAAGCAATTTTCTTGATTTTTCTTCTTATTTTGGCAATATGCCAATACGTTTTTAATTGAATATACATTTAGCCCTTAAATCAAGCCAAATTGCGATTTGCAGTTAAATATTTGAAATCTGTTTTTAAACACCAAAAGAAATTCCAGCAATTGTAACTCTAATCTTTGGCTAAACAAAATAAACAGTTGCGTTTGCTGTTGAGTTCTATGGAATTTATGCGTTGCAACAAACCCAACTGAGAGTCGGATGACATAATCTATATAGTATGTAATCCATTCGGCTAGTCGCCGCCGGTTTTTGGATGTCCGCAAATAGAGACAGAGATACAAATCTGTTGTCCAAGTCTCTTGTCGAAGCATTTTGACGCTTTGAAAAATCAGGTCATAATTTCAGTTTTTTTTTTTTTATCAGTTGTTGAAAGGGTACTATGAAAGTGCCAGGCATCGTGCATCAAACTATAACCATACAAGCTTCAAACAGTTGTTTTAGCTATCAGATGTTAGTCTAAATAAACCAATTTTATAAAGTCTTAATTACCTAGTGTTACAGTTGCTTATTCAATTACTCATTTTTGATAAGATTTCAAGGCTCAGGTTTCCTTAGCTGTATCGCACATTGTAAATCTTTAAGAGTATTTGCTATTTGGTAACTTTGTTTTCATACTTTTTGCTTTTGTTTTTGTTTGCTGTTTGTGACAGTCAGAGATCTTACGAAATCCAACAGTCGCTGTCATTATCTCAGATTTTCATGCCGTTCACGCAATTCGCTCGCAAAAAACGAGGCGAGTGACTCAACCTGATCGATGGCGATATAGTCTGTATATAGACTGTATTTTGCACAACAATATCCATGCCATACGCGAAACAATTAATAACAGATCCGTGTTTAATTAAACATATAGCTGGCACATCACAGGTCTAGATAGCGGTAGATGGGTTTAGCCTAGATATCGACTGCTGAAAGGCAATTTTATACCACTTGACCTAACTAACTAACTAGCTAACTTCAATTCCAACAACTACCTGCAACAATTTGAGTGGTTTACATAGTAATAGACTGCAGTATTAAAAGATACCCTGAATGCGTTACCTGTATACCTGTTAGAAAATTTCATAAGAATATTGCTAAATATTATAGATGTTGAAGGAAAAAAGAAAATTTGTATATCAATTCCAAAATAAAATTTGAATGTAAATTATAGTAAAAAATTTTATTCTTTTTAAAAATGAAATTAAGGAACCTTTTAAAGCGCGTTTTGGCTTTATAAAAGCTCTTTAAAATGCGCCCAATGTTTATCAATTCTAGTCTTGATTTTTGTTAAAAAAAAATAAAAATAACAAAATTTATAATACAGTCTAGAAGCTAAAAGAAAAGCAAACTGAAAATATTTTACAATTTTAGAATAAAAAAAACTTTTATAGCTTAAAGTAAAGAAAGAAACTATTTAATTAATTATGTTAAACCTCCAATACTATGATGTTTTCATAATATTCTAAGCAAAACTCTTAAAATATTCCTTATCACTAAATTTGTTAGTTTAATTAAACTCAAGTCAAGACTTAAGCCTATGAAGTCAATTTCTGGTTTAGATTTTTTAGCTGCCAGATTTTTAGAGCCAGACCAACTCTATACTGCTATATCAGTTACAGGGTATTAGAAAATTGTAAATAATTGCAGTGATTGTTTGGCCTGGTGCATTACGTGATTTTGTTGCAAACTAGAACAGAAACTTTTGCGCACTTGTTGCCACACGCACACACGCAAAGACACACACGATCAACAGTGTGCACACTGTGCTACAAACTGTTTACAATTGTTTTATTTGGACCATAACTAATGGTAATTACACTGACCACTCAGCATGGCCAAAAAGTTGGAGTTGTTGCTGCTGTTATTGTTGTTGTTGTTGTCGAGTGGCATTTGCGGCTTTTTACTGCGTTATTTTTTTCTAAATTATTTTTATTGCCCTGCTCGCTTTTACTTTTTGCAATAAATAAACAAAAATGTTGTTACTGCTGTTAGTGCCATTTAGGGCCATTTGTTATTGTTGAAACTTTTGGAAAGTCGAGCGCAGGAAAATGAAGGGCCGCCGCCGCCCGCTGTTTCTGCTTTGGATTTGGTTACTTGGCTTGCACAACATAATATAAAACAAGCGGTAAATCGATAATAATGTTTTATCATTGCTTTTATTATTACACAGCACTTAAATGGCAACGCCGTCCAATTGGACTCCAATTGGCCGATTAGCAAGCGCGCATTGCGTCATGTTCCAACTAGAAAATCAGCTTCAACGATTTTGTTGCCTTTTGTTTGGTTGGCTTAAATGCTATTTTATGGCAGATCTTTATAAATGCTTTTTTCTCCCCAAAACGTATCAAATCTTGCGGTTAAGCATACATTTAAATATGATTACACATATTTGGATATATTTATATATATTTACGTCTGCTTATAAATGTTTTAACACGGCGACAGCAGAGAAAGCCGCCCCATTCGATCATCAATTGTCATCTGATTGAGGTCATCGCCTCGTCCATTCGACGTTTGATAATTGACTCGATCAGCTTTGTGCACACTCGGCTGGTTGTCGAGCTAAAGAATACCTTCACAGCATGTTAGGGCTGGAATGGACATATTTGGATCTAAGACTCTTAAGACTGCTCGAAACTGGTTAAATAATTTATATATATGGGAGAGAGCTTGCTATCTTGTTCTAAGTCTGTTTCTCTAGAGACCTTCATTCGGACGAATCACCCAGAGGTGCTCGTGGCTCACACGGTTTAAGCCAATTGTAAGAGTATGGCTTTATTTGCAAACTATTGGCTTAGCTTGACTATCGCTGATAGTTGCAACTGCTGCTTATTGTATTCAAATATGGACAGCAAAGCATTCGATATGTAAATATTTATAAACAAGCGCTTGTTGTAGCTGTTTCATATCTTTCATTCCTTATATTTATATATATTTATATATATCAGCTGATTAATAGCGCAGTACACAAATTGCAAATCTGTGCAGAATTTAAATTGTTTTTATTCATACGATATGGCTGCCAACTCAGAGTGGGGTTTGCTTAGCTGGGTTATTTATTGTTTAACTTATGATAAAAGTATTCTGCTTTGTGGTTAAATATGCGAGTTTGTTTTAGAGCTGTGTTCCTGACAAACTGAAATGGAGCAAAATGAGAAAGAATTTATTTTTAATAAATCTTGTTAATGAAGCTTAAAAGTTGCTCAAACAAATTTGACCGCAAGGAAAAAAACGTTCATTTATTTATAAAAAAAAATAGTAAATCTAAAATGATTGAGGACTTATAGTTTTTCTATATGTATTTAATTCATAAATAAAATAGCTGAATATATTTTATATAGGCATTTTATATTATATTCAGGTATTTTATTTATGAATTAAATGCATATAAAAACTATGTCCCCAATAATTTTAGATTTACTATGTTTTTTATAAATATTTACACATATATATTTTTTTAAATTTCGTTAATTATTTAAATCCTATTAATACAATTTTAAGAAAAGCATTATGAAAGTTGAAATCATGTTACCGCAGCTGTAATAATAGTATTTATTTATATATATGTAGCAGATATATATATATAAATATGACTTCAGACACGATTCCAATTTTTCAAAATATTTCCGCTCGTTCGTATTTTTTCTAATTTTGTTATAATTGAAATGAATTCGTCTTGAAGTAATTTCCCTTATTAGTCTTTAAGCTATAATTAAATTAATATATATTTAAAAAAAACCTGTTAGAAGTCAAAATGCCGCCATTTGGTCTTCTGTTTCCTGTTCCATGTTCCATATTTTCGAACCCAATATTAAGAGAATAATTAAACGGAAAAGAAATAAATCGATTTTGCTGTCGAAATCAGTCGAGTGAAATCGTTTTTTAGTTGGGCATCTTGGAGAAGCTCCGCAGCGGAACGGAAGACACGTGCTCCGATGAACTTCGATGGTCAGCGCGCTAGACGGAGCGTAAAACGTTACCCGAATGCCGCCCTCTCAGCCAACCACACCTGCATTTGACCTGCATTTGAATTCAGCGAACTCTAACCTTCACTCGCTGCCTTGGCCTCACAAGTAGATAGCCAGCCAGGCATGGATCACGAGTACGCACGTAGAGTGCCCGTAGATCCCGAAATGGTGCCGCACTCAAGCTGCCGCCCTCCTCCTCCCCCTCTCTCCGTGCACTGACGTGGCTAACTTGAAAGCAAATTGTTTTTGCCACGGAAATATATAGAAATTTGCTAGCGGAAGCAGTGGGGGAACATAGCCACGTTCCAGCTGGGCGTTACTTGCAAAACATAGTTGGGCATGGCCAGTCAAAGAAATAATCAGTTTGTAATGACTAATGCCATCAGCATGATCGTGGGCAAGTGCATTAGCCACATATGTGGTGTAGCCCTTGACGGAAGACGTTTCTTATGAATTGTATTTTAATGATTTTTTTTCAACGCTTTACTAAAATTGTAAATCAATAATTTACTATATATTCAAAGGAAAATATCTTTGACTATCAATTAATGCATAAACACATCTTAGAAAAGACATTGAACAAAAACTAAGTAGCGAGGGAAGTCTGATGAACTCTTAAATGACAATTTTCAAACTATAAAAAATAAAAAAGTGATTCAAATTAATCTTTATTTCATATTATTAGTAGTATTATTCTATTATATATTTATTATAATTATATAGAGCATTTATGAATGCATCTTCATGTTTAATATTAGCTTATATTTTCATATATAAAATCTGTCGAAGCTATATACATGAAATAGTTTAGTCACGCGAAAGAGAAGCGTATTTAATCAATGAAAATTACTCACAATCTTTTTTAAACAGTGACATAAACTACATTAATATACACATGTATAATAATCGTAATGAGTAAAGTGCTTTAGCCCTCTTTGTACGTGTGTACAAAGCGCTTTCTCTTCAGGCGCCCAATTGCCTGCTTGCTGGCTGAACCGGCCCTGGCAGTGCTGCTCACTTTGCTTGCCACTTGAGTTGCTGTGCGCTGAGAGGAATTCTCTCGCTAGCCACATTCGTTTTCACCGTCCAACTGGACTTGCTCGCAACTGTAAATAAATGCTAATTTAATGTACATCTTTGTTCCATTGCAGCGGCTGTGCTGAGCAGAGCGAATCATCGGCAGAGTCAGAGCAACAAAGAAAGCGACGCTGCTGATGTGGACGAAGAGTCCACGGCGTCCAACTCAACGGCGACTAAGCAGTCGTTGGCCTTCACCATAGATCACTTCGACGCCTCGGAGAACGACTCGGCGGCTCAGGCTGCGCGCTACAAGAACATGATGGAGCGCTTTCAGAGTCGACACAGGCGTGGCGCCTCCATGTCGAAGCTGGAGAGCGAGGGCAGCTCGGTCAACAGCGGCAACGGGCGACACTCGCAGCGCAGCAGTCTGGATGCCAGCAGCGTGGCCGATGATGCTTCCGTGGCAGCCACCGAGGCAGCGCCAGCGGTGAAGATGCGAGTGCGTGAGCGCAGCGCCTCGCGGGTGAGAGACGCTTCCAAGCGCCACAGCTGGTCGCCGCGCAGTTCGGCCACAACTGAACCACCCGCCCGGGCGCCCAGCCAGAAGCCAAAGCAGGCGCAGCCTGCGCCGCCAAAGGGCACCTCTAATATGCTGGCCAATCGCACCGCCCAGTTCACACCACGTTCCACTGCGATGCAGCTGGCGCTGAAGCAGGTGGAGCTGCTGTGCCCGCATCCGCCGCTGAATGATATCAAAGCCGCCGACGAGGATGCTGTCAGCGAGGCTGGCACCTATACGCTCGATGGCGACAACTACACCGAGGAGCAGAAGGATCTCATGAACATAGATCGAAATGCTGCGGCGGCTGCAGCTGCTGCTGCTGCGTCGGCGGCTTCGACCAAACTGCGGCCCAAGCAGCTGGCTGTGAAGCCGAGCCGCGCCAGCAATGTGCTCGAGGTCAACTACTACCACGAGACGCCACAACAGGAGCAGAAGGGCAACAGCACCAACGCCAATGCCAGCGGCGCCTACTTGGAGCAGCTCAAGTCTCGAGTGCTTCATTCACAGGCACCGCCCACGCCTCCCTCGCCTCGTTCGCCGGCCGCCGACGTGGGCTGCTTCACCAGCGTCACGACCAGCGGTGTGCTGGCCAAGCAGCGGGCGCTGGACACGCATCCCAAACTGACGCGCCATTCGCACAGTCTGTCCACCTCGCAGATCGACAGCTCCGAGTACGTGAGCAACGAGGCCAAGCTGCGCCATGCCCAGGCCCAGGCCATGGCAGGCAGCGCCACGGATCGCCAAAAGGCTGAGTATCGACTGAATGTGTTCACTAGCAGCAACAACCAACAGCAACAGCAACAGCAGCAGCAACAGCAGCAGCTGCATCAGTTGCCCGAGACGCCGACCACGCCCACAGAGGCAGCGCTGCTGCAGTCGGCGCCCACAAAGCAGGATTGGATTCAGGAATGGGCGCGCAATGCACGTGCTCGCAGTCTGGCCCAGGATGTGAGCAGCACCTCGGCCAACCGCCGCAAACAGCAGGCGCAGGCACAGGCCCAAGCCCAGGTATTTAGTCACTTTATACAATGTTACCTGTACAGCAAGTCATCTCTCTCTCTCTCTCTCCCTCAGCAACTGATGACACGCAGCTACAATTGCTCGGACACTGGCGCGGATTCCTTGACAGATGATAGCCTTAGCTTGTATAACCAGCAGCAACGCCAATATGCAGCAGCTGCCAAGCTTAATCGCAGCCTGGCTGAGCGCTACCGACTGCTGGGTGACTGTGACTACGCGAGCGATCCGGCGCTGTGCAGCCAAGGCCAGATGCCGGGCGAGCCGTATAAGCCGCCAAAGAGTCCGAGTAAGATACCCTCGCCGCTGCACACGCTGGGACGTGCGCGCAGTGCCAGCCGCTCGCGGCCAGCCATGGAGCAGCTGCCGTCACAGACGACATCGCGTCGCAGCTCGGTCAAGTCGCCGGCGACACAATGCAGTCCACAGCACAGTCTGGAAACAACGGCGGGCTATCGTCGCTCGCCGCTGCATCGCGCATTGATGACCAGCAGCATTAACGAGGCGCAGCTGCAGCTGTTGACCAGCGGCGAGTATCTGCTGAAGCAGCTGCATCGGCGCAAGAACTCGCTGGACGATGTGGAGCATGTGGAGCACGCGGAGCTGCCGACCTCGTCAGCTGGCTCCATATCGCCGCTACGACGTTCCAGCTCCTTCCAGCGACCGCTGCAGACGCTGCGGCAGGCGCGCCCTAACTTTCAGAATCTGTATACTCCCCCGGCGGCACGCCACTTGCAACAGCAGCAGCAACAACTGCAGCTGCAGCTGAAGAAGTCCGCCAGCAGCAACAACTTTGACCAGTCGTACAGCGACTACGACAACGAGCTGCAGTACTACATCAATGACGAGGACGAGCTGGGCACCACGGGCCCTTACTACTCCAGTGGCGAGGAGGAGGAGGAGTTGGAGCAGCGTACGCGGCAGGCACAGCAGGCACAGCAAACGCACAATGCTTCCGACTCCACTGTGCCGTTGACTAATACGCGTCTTAATAAGGCGCTGCTCATGCGCATCGAGCGCAGCAAACAGCGCGTGGCGGGCAGTGGAGCAGCAAGTGCAACTGGTCAGGGACTGACGCCATCCAAGCCCAGTTCGGCGCCTGCGGGCAAGCTGAATGCAGCTGCCCAGGCAGCAGCTGGGCTGGTAGCCTGCCCCAATACGCCAGAGTTGCCAAGGCGCGGCATCAAGAGCGCACAGCCACGCGCTGCATCTGGCTGCGGGCCCAAGTTGCGGCAATCCATGCCACGTGAGACGAGCCTCAGTCGCTTGGCTCAGCAGGTGCCCAGCAGCTTGGCCAATGCCAAGAAGCAGCTGCTGCAGACAGCCAATGCAACAAGCAATGTGCGCGTGCAGCCCAAGTACCTTGACATATCCAAGTACAAGTCGGCGCAGTCGAACAACTTCTTACGCAAGAACGATGCCAAGAGCACTCTAAAGCCAGCCGAACAAATGAAGCGCAGTCCCAGCGCCTCCTCCATGGGTCTTAGTCGTACCGAGGGCACGCGTGCCAGCAATCGCAGCGTGCGCTCCAACACCTCTGTGATGAACAGCAGCACTACATCCTTGGGTGGTGGCGGCGGCATCTCAGGCATGCGCGCCTCATCCGCAGTCCGACGCGATGCCTCAGGTAAGTACAGTAAAATATGCCAAATAGCCACACTCACACAATGCCTAACAAACCTTTCTGATTCCGCAGTGAACAAGCAGAAGGAGGCCGAGATGGTCATGTGGAAGCGACGCTCCACCTACGATCCCATGAAGGCAGCTGCCGAGGATAGACGCCGCAAAGAGGAGGCGCGGCGTGCCCAAACACAGGCCCAGGCTCAGCAGCAATACAACGATATGGCTGACGATGTGCCTTTCGAAAGGTAAATGCCTAGCACCTGTGTTTGAAGCTGCACAGCACTACTTTTACCATTAATGTACAACATTTAGATCGCGTTCAGGCGTTTGGTAAATCCCTTTCAGTGAACCGTTAAAATCGCACTCGAACAAACATCAAGTCCTTAGTCTACTTAAGTCTATAATTAATATTCGCCAAATAGAACTTCGTGATTTATCGCATAAGATAAAAAGTTAGAGTGACTTGAAAAAAGGTAGAATTTCAGAAAATGGCATTAAAATGTATGCAAAAGTTTAAGGAAAATAATTGAGTTCTTATCTACTTAAAGTCAACTATGAATCACATTAATACTCGGTTATCATCCAACAAATGTTGACCTAATTTAAAAGAGATTATTCACATATATATTTAATAGGTATTACAATATAAAAATTATAATTGAATAGGGTATAAAATATACTTAATTTAGATTTTAATATATATTATATTAATAGACTACTATATTACTAGACGAACCAATTGGCGCTTTTGATTGATCAAGATACAAAAATATTGTAAAATTAAATTCTGTTACTAATAATAAATTAAATAGTTCGTAGTCCATTTTAGTTTGTGAAAGCAGAAAAACAATTGTATTATAAGTATTTTATATATTTACTTTCATGAATATGCCTTTAAAATGGAAATTTTAAACAGCTTTGCAAATAAGCTTTACGAGTTACTCTCATAATCGTAGTAGGCTGAAATTAAATTCCCAATACCCTCTATACATAAATGCCACAATAATCCAAAATGTATCTAAAGACATAGATATGAAAAACATGAGCTGAGCTATAAAACAAACTTCAATATAGAAAATATGTATTCTCTCAGTATAATCATTTCTATATATATATATTCTACAACACATTTGCCTAATTGACAGATCGATACTATTTGATATTGGCGAATTTGATTAGAAAGGTATCAACATGACTTTATACATAGTTATTTAGATACTAATTTAATTTCACTGCATTAGGAACTATAAAGTATTACTCCAATCTCGATCGAATACTCGACATATTCTCAATAGATCGCTGTAGCTTGAGACTTCATTTAGTTTTTAGGCGAGGATTAAGTAGTCTATTAGAGCCTAAACTTTAATTTCTATATATATTCTTTAAGCGTAATTATCTTGTTTTTTTTTCCATTTATTCAATTATTATTATTAGCTTAAGGTTGTGGGTTATATCGCGGCTAGAGGTAAAGGTGCGTTTAACGACCAATTAAAACCTAATCGTTACTCACCTTCAGTAAACACGCTTACGATTTAATCTCTCGTAGTGCCCCCGATGCTGTTTATAGGCACAGCATTGCATAAATATATATACTATCTAAATATCAAATATCTAGTCTCTAAAAATTGTAGGACATTTAGCTTAAAACAATGTATAAACCCTATTTATGTTATAATTTTGCTAATTATTTTCTTTTTCTTTTAATTTCTGTACACCAACCACAAAAAAACCTACGCAAACGCCTCTTTGCTATCTCTGTAGACCATCACGCTCACACTATCGCCGTGGACTGTTATGACCAACGGATGGTGTGCTAGTGACCGATCTGTAACCAAGATAAACCAACACCACAACATTCGACTACTATCTTTCCACACACACACACACATCTCTTCTTTACACACTACATTTAACATGGTGCAAGCAGAGCCGACCACAGCAAATTCCTACGTAATTAATCTTGATTGTGTTACTAGAGCCAACTTCTAGTATCAATTTGAAACCAAGCAACGAATTTTTATATGGATTTTAACTCGTTTGTACATACACGAATCTATCCAATCCAACGAAAGCGACAACGACAACGACAACGAATTGCTCCACAGTTTCGACGAGTTTGCCAATGTAATAGAGAAGTTGCCCCAATGCCACTCGCCACTCGCTACTCGCCACTCGCCACTCGCTACTCGTTGCCCGTTACTCGTTGCTAGTTGCTCGTTACTGTTTGTTATCTGTTTGCATTGAACTCATTTTATACGTTGCTATATATATCTATATATCTATTCCTGCTCGCAATCAACTTGTGCAATTGTCGGAAATATTGTAAATTTTATAGGACTATCAAAATTTTCTTGTGTCTTGTGTCAGCTGGGCACATTCATAATAAACCAATCTAACGTATCTAGTCTATCATATTCATACTGCATTTGGCTAGCAGAAATCACAATGGAACGAAGTCAACTAATCCATAACAAATCTAACAACTGTTCGTTAGCTGTACAAATGTTTGCCTTGTCTTAAAAACTAATTCGTGTTCTCGTTATCCTTACTAATCTATGATATCTGAAACTAATACAACATTCACACACATATACTATAAGACAACTATTAAAAAGCTTAGTTAGTCGCTAGTTTAGCACTTGTTTTGTATTCGCTACACTCATTGAATACATTTAACTTACATGATCTACTCTGGCTTATCGATATCTAATCACAATCTCGTTCTCTCTACTCCCGCTTATGCTCTCGCCGTCGCGCTCTCAGTGTCCTTCGCCCGGCCAACAATCTGACCATCACAGGCAGCATAAACTACAGCCCAAGAAATTCAATGGAAAACGATGCCTGGACGCTTGGTGAATCATCCGAGTTCGGCGAGTATCCCGAAGACTACGAAGATGACGATGTGGACGAGGAGGAGCACGAGCAGGGCCAGGATGAATACGTTGCTGGCCAGGAGTCCGACGACGTGTTCGAGGCAGAGACGGCGGAGGCCACAGCTTAGGTCAGGCAGCACCAACAGCAGCATCAAGTTAAACCAGCAACAGTGATATATATTAAAGCGATCTATATATATAAATATAAAACTATATATTGTATAACAGCGAGCGCAATGCGATTTAGTTATTAATCTATTCCTATACCACATCTAACATGATATTTGATTTATATAAACTGAAGTAAGGAAACTGAATGTCTTGAATAAACAGAGTGAATACTTTGCGAGATGAATATTATTTACGATGCTGTCCAGAAATCGCCATAACTGAAACATAACTTAAACAGAATATATATTTTAAAAGCAACTTCTAAGAGTTTTAAATGAAATATATATATAATATATATACTTAGTTTATTTACTTCAACAGACTTACTTAGTTGATCTTCAGTTATATATATGAAGTCTTTACAAATAAAAAACTATGTTCAACAACTATAAGATACTCAAATCTCTAGTAAGTCCGAGCTGCAAACTTGTGCTAGAAATTATATTCTAAAAATAAGGAATTGATTCAACAATATAAAAACTGTGCTAAAAAACTGAATGCGTTCCGGACTTACGCGATATCTGCGCCTCAGCAAGCTGAAAAACTCAAAAGAAAACGAATTGTTCGTAGATTTTGTATGCGTACAGAATAACGCGTTAACTCAGATAAAAAGCCTATACATATATAGGTATATATAGTTTTATATGCGTAGAATTTAGTCATGTGGTATTTGCTTTTAACTTGTTTAAGTATGTTTTTTAAAGTTTATTCAGCTGACGATGCTTCATAACAGACCCAACTGAATATGATTAAAATGCCTAGATTATTATATATTAACTATATAGTATGAAGTATATAGTATATAGTATATGTATAATATAAACTATATATCTATATATTTATAATACGTAATGGTGTCGGTGTCCATGGTTTTAATTATTTTTAAAAATGTATTTATATATGCAATATATTTTTAAATTCAAACTAATTTGAATTGATAAATTTTTGTAATCATACAATTTATCGTGCAATTTGTTTACTGTTGTTTTATTTCTAGAGGAAAAATAAAATTTATGATTTAATGTACAAAAGATTGTTGAATATTTAATTCGAATTCAAATTCTCTTTTTACGTACAGCGTTTCTCTGATTGGCATTCTAATTGGGATTCTTATTGGCAGTCAAGAATGTAGCATACTTTTAAGCGGCGCACATGTTACAAAACTTTGTTAGAAAATGTTGCAGATTTATTACAATTATTAAGCGAATAGCTAAGAGAATGGTATGCTCATAAGATTTAATAATTTTGCTGTTATAATTGAGAAATACTTTGCTTTATATAAGTCAAGCAGAACAACAGAAAATTGGTTCTTTGATATTTCCAATTGGAGCAGCAGCTCGGTTGGCTGCTTGCAACGGAAATGCCAATTAGAGATTTTATGTAATGCGTACAACAGCAGCAACAAGACAACGCAAAACTAAACAAAATGAGCAACAAGAATTTGTGTATACGCGCGTGAGTGTGTGTGTGTGTGTAGGACAGTGTAAGTGAATTCGGAATTTTATGAACTGGGGATTGAAAGTGGATGAGCAGAGGGCCACAGCAGCAGAATCAAAGCATTGTAAAATGAAGCTAAACTAATTAAATTAAATAAAATAGAATTGTAAACAAAAGAGCCCCAACAACAACAATATCAGCATCAGCAGCAGCAACTGAGACGAACGAAAACAAATGAAAGAGCCATAAATATTTATCAAAAGAAATAACAAAACAAGCTGAGAAAAAATGCCAGAAATGAACGAATAATAATGAAATCTTTTTGTTGTTCTTGTTGTTGTTATGCAATTCGTCTGATAAGTGAATTAATTAAATTTTATGCAGCAAGAGCTAAACACAGCAAAAGTTAAAGAAAACAATGCAGATTATGAATAATATTTAATACACATCCGACGTAACCGAAACGGCCGAGAGATGAGAACTTTCGGCTTTCAGCTCGTTTTTGGCTATGAATAAACAATAACGTTCCATGAAATCTTTGGTTCTAGATAAGCGTTCTTAGGAAGCTGTTTATTTATCATGAATAAAACATAACGTATCTGACGCTAATCGGATTTCATTTGAAATTTCATAATTTCCTATTTTATTTGTATTAAGAAACGATTCTCAAACAGAAGCAAGAGTTCTGAAAGCAAAACAAATGTTAAGCAGTTAACATTGGTTGCTCTTAAACTCAGAAAGACATATCGATGTACCACTCCCCCCAAAACAACATGCCATCCTTCTGTAGTCAAGTGTAAAGGTTTTCTTTTATATACTGCTTAAATCCAAGTTAAAAAAACTTTAAATTTCAAAGCGAATTGGTTTCTAAATCTAAATCAAAATATAAATAATTGAACTATAAATTTATATTGCGAATATTTGTTAATAGATATTATAGTTTGTAACTTGTTGAAAATTTGGCTATGAAAAAATGAGTAATCGAGCCACATAGTCCAAGCCTATTGTTCTATATATTTCACATTTCAATAAAGTCAACATTTCAAGCTAACAGTTTGGATAGAAACATCAATTAAAAATATTCATAATATTTGCTAAAAGCTCTACAGTGGCACTCAGCAGTAATCCGACTGTCACTTGTGTGACTTGAGCTCAACAACTATGGATACATTGCCCAGTGAGCGTAGCTAGAAGATTGTATTTTTAATAACATTGAAAACTTTTAAAGTATGCAAAATATTCAGAATGTAAATTGAATGCTGTCAGCTTCAAAATTCAATTTTGCTCGCTTTCGCGCTGTTAAACCCGAGCAAAATATTTTTGGTTTTTTGGCTTTTGTTGCTGTATATATTATTTCTTTTTAGAAAAATAATAAGTATAATATAATTAGTATGAGTATAAATACAATTACTGTAACGACGACCAAGTCAGGCATATAAAGATTTAAAATCAATCTTTTTTTTTTTGGGAACGACTTTTAACCGAAATGAGATTAGTTTTAATAAATTAAAAATAAAAATGAATTTAATTGTAAAATTTAGTATATGCTTTATTTTAAATCATAAATCATTATTATATCTGTATATAATATTTTAATTTCAATTTTAATATATATAGTTTAGAAAGCATATACAGCTTTGTTCATAATAATAGTAGTGATGCACCAAACGAAAAGTTACCTTTCCTATTGAGTAATAAACAAAGGGTTAATTTTAGTTTAGAATAAAATGCAGAGAGAATTACGAAAAAATCCTGCTAATTTCGGTCAGAATTAATTTGCTTTTGACGATTTTAGAGAAATGCCTTGAAGGTCCATTGTTCATTGAAATAGTAGTGCTGGACGTAAGTAGTAGAAAATCATAAATAAGAAAAGTAAATTTAAAAATAAAATATATTCACAAAAGGATTAATTCCATATGTAATAATTTACGAATTGAAATTTATTGGAGCCGCAATCTTCGTTTGATTTTATAGAGTAGAGGAAAACATTACTCGGCAAGCAAATGAAATTTAATTGTTAATTGATAATTATTTTTGAAATTCTGTTTTTATTACAAAATTGTGTTGTCGTACCACTATTTTAATGAACACAGCTGGATATATATCTGGAATGTGTTCAGTATTAAAGTTGATAGACTATTAGGCAAAGGGGATTCGAGCCGTGCCTTGCTGTAGGTATTTTTGCGGTCGTGTCTATTAAAGCAATTCGGAATAAAATAATTCCCATTTTCTTAGTAGCTCTTGAGTGCTCTGTGGGTCGTAATTTGGGCAGAGTTAAACGGGTCTATTGAAATGTTAATGATTTCTTTTGCTTGCCCTGAGTGTTTAGTCTGGCACTTGGGAGCCGAATTATTTACGAGTATTTAGCAGTCGGATGGACTTACTCTGGGCCAATAAACAAATAATGCTTAATGTGCCTTCGATGCGAATTATTATTTACGAAATGCGATGGAAATGGAATTGAATAGTCTCGGAATTTATGGACCACATTGCTGCATTCGGTACTTGAGGCCACTTAAATCGATTTGATATATGGTATTATGTGGCATTTCGATGCTATCCAAGGGCATCTATCCATCGATTGCGTCAGTTCTCAATGACCCACGGCCAACGGGCAACAGCCAGAAGCAAAACAAAACATTTGTCAATTCTTTTTATGAGTGCATAGAACAATATGTTCCTAATTGTTAAATATATTTCTAATTGTTATATATATATTTGGATAACATCGTAGTCCCAATCCCAAACAAGTCGCCATCCATCTTCGGTAGTTCGCTGCGCTATTCATCTGGATAGAGGCGCCTGAAGTTATAGTATAGACTGGGGTTATGCACATCGTATATCGGATGCTGCATCACGATCTGCCTGAAGTGCCAATGCTCCACGAGCAGCACAGCTATGGAGAGAAGGTAGCCTATGCCGAGCGCCACGAACGAGCTCCAGAATTTGTGCAGATTCATTAGCGCCTCTTGAGGCGCCCGCTCATCGGCGGGCAGACGGAGGATTGCGTCTCGCAGCCACTTAGAGATGAGACCTAAGAGAGTGAGAGAGAGGGAAAGAGTGAGTCAATGAGTGAAATGGAGAGATAAAGAGATAGAAATAAAGAAACTGAGAAAGGAAAAGAGATGGAGAGACATAGATAAAGAGAAAAAGACAGATGGATAGAGAGATAGATATATAGATATATAGATATATAGATCTATCTGGGAGAATCTGGAATCTGGGAGAGGGAGAGACTGATAGTGGGGACTGAGAGAAAGAGAGAGACTCTGAGACTGAGAGGGAGAAAGGAAGATAAAGAGATAGGACAGTGAGTGAGAGGGATGGGGATAGAAAGAGAGCAAGATATATATAAATAAGCGACAAAGAAAGAGAGAGAGAGAGAGAGAGAGAGACAGAGAGAGAAAGAAAGAGACAAAGAGAGAGGCAGAGAGAGACAGAAAGAGAGAGACAGAGAGACAGAATCAGAGACAGAAAGAGAGAAAGAGACAGAGAGAGTGAGAGAGAGAAACAGAGAGACAGAGACAGAGAGAGAGGGAGAGAGAGAGAGAGAGAAAGAGAAAGAGAAAGAGACAGAGAGAGAGAAAGGCAGAGAGACAGAAACAGAGAGAGAGAGAAAAAGAGAAAGAGAGAGAGAGACAGAGAGAGAGAGAGACCGATACCGCGCGATATATATATAGAGAGAGAGAGAGAAATGAAAGGTTGATAGAAGATGCTGGAATAGCGTAAATAAATTCACTTAGATAGAATCAGTTAGAGGTAAGTAGATAACTGATCAAGAGCTTCGTAGCACCCACCGCCCTCAGCCAAGTGTTGTATAATGTCATTCACATGAGGCTTCAGGGCCGAGTTCTTCTCGAGAGCCAGCACCACGGGCATGTGGATGACGCACTCCTTCATAATGTGCAAGGCGCCCGCTGCCACGCCCCTCGCAGCGTCCGACATGCGCAAATGCCTCAGATAGAACTCGTTGTCATAGTAGGCGCACTGACCACGTGCAATGCGATTGGTCTAAAGAGGAGGAGGGGAGGATTGAGTATCTGTAAACATATGTCTATAATATAAGGCCCAAAGGGCCCCACCAAGTCGTCCAGGTGCTCCACTATTTCCATGCGGGCGCCCACTTCCCGGGCAGCATCGTCGCTGGACTCCAGGAAGAACTGTTTGCTCTCCACAGCTCCAGTTGTGGGCGGAATGCGAGCGCGATTGAGCTCCTTGAGCGTGTCTATGGTGATGCTGCAGCAGAAGGAGATTATAGGCAAGCGATGTGGAGGCAGGCGATACGCATACCTGGCGGCTGGGTTGGCCAAGATAGCTGTGAAGCTGGCTCTGTAGGTGGCCACCAGGAGGATGCAGTAGATCCAATACCAGCCCGTAAGCACGCGCAGAGGCCAGTTGCGGGGCACGCGTGGCAGCGCCACGTAGAGCAGCATGCTGTAGGTGAGCAGAATGCAGTTCGAGTAGTCGTCGAAGATGTCCCGGCGTGGAGCATCACTGCGCCGATGGCGTCCTAGAGTAATGCGAAAGCTTAGGCGCTGCCAGGAGAGGGGGTCGCGCTTGGCGCCTCTCCTGCGGCGCAGGCAGCGAAAAAAGGACACCTGGCTGCCGGAGGTGAGCAGCGCATTGAAGTAGCTGATCAAGTAGAAGATGCTGCCAACTACTACCAGAGAGAGCAGCACGCCTGCCCACATGCCGCCGCTGAAGGGCAATATGAAGGTCTGCCAGGACTTGTCCGCCGACGACTCGGGTGTCAGAAAGGTCAAACACTCCACGCTGTGTGGCACGCTCAGCTCCACATGCGGCACGTAGCTCCGGAACATATGCAGATCCCCAATGCCGAAGCGAGCACGGTGACGCACCTGCTCAGACACGTGAGTTGGTTATCTGCTAATCGACGCATGTCTAGCCCCTAGCACATTACCAGCTCTCCAATCAGACCTGCCTCCAAGTGGGTCTCATTCGGCTGCAGCGACTGCTCCCGTTCAGCGGCATCGCTCGCATTTGTGGCATAGTAGAGGGGCTCAAAGTTCAGGGCCTTGGCCAGGGCATCCATGATGCCGACCTCGACGCCCTGGTAACTATTTGTGGATCGATTCCAATGCACCATCGGCACGTGCTCAGCTACGGCCACCGACAACTCTGCACCTAAAAGGCAAATTGTAAATATTTAAATAGAAATCTATAAATGAATATTTAAAAGAATTACAGAAATTTCGATAAGTAACATTCATAACAAATTCGCTGTTTTTAGTTTTACAATTTGCATTTACTCTCATGAGCTGGGAGAATACTTAAAGATGAATAAAGGACAAATTAAGTTATTTAAATTAACAACATTTTTTCTCTTATAGATGAATGATTGATAGATTGACAGATTGATAGATTGGTAGATTGCTTGATAGATTGGTCGATTGATAGATTGATAAAATGATTGATAGATTGACACATTGATAGATGGATAGATTGACAGATTGATAGATTGATAGATTGATACATTGACAGATTGATAGATTGATAGATTGATACATTGACAGATTGATAGATTGATAGATTGATACATTGACAGATTGATAGATTGATAGTTTGATAGAGTGATAGATTGATAAATTGATAGATTGATAAATTGATAGATTGACAGATTAATAGATTGATAGATTGACAGATTGATAGATTGATAGATTGATTGATAGATTGGCCGATTGATAGATTGATAGATTGATAGATTGATAGATTGATAGATTGATAGATTGATAGATTAATAGATTGATAGATTGACAGATTGATAGATTGATAGATTGATAGATTGATAGATTGACAGATTGATAGATTGACAGTTTGATAGATTGGTCGATTGATAGATTGATAGATTGACAGATTGATAGATTGATAGATTGATAGATTGATAGATTGATAGATTGATAGATTGACAGATTTACAGATTGATAAATTGATGATTGATAGATTGATAGATTGATAGATTGATAGATTGATAGATTGACAGATTGACAGATTGATAGATTGATTGATAGATTGGTAGATTGATAGATTGATTGATAGATTGACGTATAGAAAATTGACAGATTGGTAGAATAATTGAGACAGATTGATAGATTGACAGATTGATAGATTGATTGATAGATTGATAGATTGACAGATTGATAGATTGATAGATTGACAGATTGATAGATTGATAGATTGATAGATTGATAGATTGACAGATTGATAGATTGATAGATTGACAGATTGATAGATTGATAGATTGACAGATTGATAGATTGATAGATTGACAGATTGATAGATTGATAGATTGATAAATTGATAAATTGATAGATTGACAGATTGATAGATTGATAGATTGATAGATTGATAGATTGATAGATTGATAGATTGATAGATTGACAGATTGACAGATTGATAGATTGATAGATTGAGAGATTGATAGATTGATAGATTGATAGAGCGATAAATTGATAGATTGACAGATTGACAGTTTGATAGATTGGCCGATTGATAGATTGATAGATTGACAGATTGATAGATTGATAGATCTATAGATTGATAGATTGATAGATTGATAGATTGGCAGATTGATAGATTGATAGATTGATAGATTGATAGATTGATAGATTGATAGATTGATAGATTGATAGATTGATAGATTGATAGATTGATAGATTGATAGATTGATAGATTGATAGATTGATAGATTGACAGATTGATAGATTGATAGATTGATAGATCTATAGATTGATAGATTGATAGATTGATAGATTGACAGATTGATATATTGATAGATTGATAGATTGACAGATTGATAGATTGATAGATTGATAGATTGATAGATTGATAGATTGATAGATTGATAGATTGATAGATTGATAGATTGATAGATTGATAGATTGATAGATTGATAGATTGATAGATTGATAGATTGATAGATTGACAGATTGATAGATTGATAGATTGATAGATCTATAGATTGATAGATTGATAGATTGATAGATTGGCAGATTGATAGATTGATAGATTGACAGATTGATAGATTGACAGTCTGATAGATTGGCCGATTGATAGATTGATAGATTGATAGATTGACGGATTGACAGATTGATAGATTGATAGATTGATAGATTGATAGATTGATAGATTGACAGATTGATAGATTGAATTGATAGATTGATAGATTGATAGATTGATAGATTGATAGATTGATAGATTGATTGATTGATAGATTGACAGATTGATAGATTGATAGATTGACAGTTTGATAGATTGGCCAATTGATAGATTGATAGATTGATAGATTGACAGATTGATAGATTGATAGATTGATAGATTGATAGATTGATAGATTGATAGATTGATAGATTGATAGATTGATAGATTGATAGATTGATAGATTGATGGATTGATAGATTGACAGATTGATAGATTGATAGATTGACAGTTTGATAGATTGGCCAATTGATAGATTGATAGATTGATAGATTGATAGATTGATAGATTGACAGATTGATAGATTGATAGATTGATAGATTGATAGATTGATAGATTGATAGATTGATAGATTGATAGATTGATAGATTGATAGATTGATAGATTGACAGATTGATAGATTGATAGATTGATAGATTGATAGATTGATAGATTGATAGATTGATAGATTGATTGATTGATAGATTGATAGATTGATAGATTGATAGATTGATAGATTGATAGATTGATAGATTGATAGATTGATAGATTGATAGATTGATAGATTGATAGATTGATAGATTGATAGATTGACAGATTGATAGATTAATAGATTGATAGATCTATAGATTGATAGATTGATAGATTGATAGATTGGCAGATTGATAGATTGATAGATTGACAGATTGATAGATTGACAGTCTGATAGATTGGCCGATTGATAGATTGATAGATTGATAGATTGACGGATTGACAGATTGATAGATTGATAGATTGATGGATTGATAGATTGATAGATTGATAGATTGGCAGATTGATATATTAATAGATTGATAGATTGACAGATTGATAGATTGATAGATTGATAGATTGATAGATTGATAGATTGATAGATTGATAGATTGATAGATTGATAGATTGATAGATTGATAGATTGATAGATTGATAGATTGACAGATTGATAGATTGATAGATTGATAGATTGATAGATCTATAGATTGATAGATTGATAGATTGATAGATTGGCAGATTGATAGATTGATAGATTGACAGATTGATAGATTGACAGTCTGATAGATTGGCCGATTGATAGATTGATAGATTGATAGATTGACGGATTGACAGATTGATAGATTGATAGATTGATAGATTGATAGATTGATAGATTGATAGATTGATAGATTGATAGATTGATGGATTGATAGATTGACAGATTGATAGATTGATAGATTGACAGTTTGATAGATTGGCCAATTGATAGATTGATATATTGATAGATTGATAGATTGATAGATTGATAGATTGAAAGATTGACAGATTGATAGATTGATAGATTGATAAATTGACAGATTGATAGATTGACAGATTGATAGATTGATAGATTGAGAGATTGATAGATTGACAGATTGATAGATTGATAGATTGATAGATTGATAGATTGATAGATTGATAGATTGACAGATTGATAGATTGATAGATTGACAGTTTGATAGATTGGCCAATTGATAGATTGATAGATTGATAGATTGATAGATTGATAGATTGACAGATTGATAGATTGATAGATTGATAGATTGATAGATTGATAGATTGATAGATTGATAGATTGATAGATTGATAGATTGATAGATTGACAGATTGATAGATTGATAGATTGATAGATTGATAGATTGATAGATTGATAGATTGATAGATTGATTGATTGATAGATTGATAGATTGATAGATTGATAGATTGATAGATTGATAGATTGATAGATTGATAGATTGATAGATTGATAGATTGATAGATTGATAGATTGATAGATTGACAGATTGATAGATTAATAGATTGATAGATCTATAGATTGATAGATTGATAGATTGATAGATTGGCAGATTGATAGATTGATAGATTGACAGATTGATAGATTGACAGTCTGATAGATTGGCCGATTGATAGATTGATAGATTGATAGATTGACGGATTGACAGATTGATAGATTGATAGATTGATGGATTGATAGATTGATAGATTGATAGATTGGCAGATTGATATATTAATAGATTGATAGATTGACAGATTGATAGATTGATAGATTGATAGATTGATAGATTGATAGATTGATAGATTGATAGATTGATAGATTGATAGATTGATAGATTGATAGATTGATAGATTGATAGATTGACAGATTGATAGATTGATAGATTGATAGATTGATAGATCTATAGATTGATAGATTGATAGATTGATAGATTGGCAGATTGATAGATTGATAGATTGACAGATTGATAGATTGACAGTCTGATAGATTGGCCGATTGATAGATTGATAGATTGATAGATTGACGGATTGACAGATTGATAGATTGATAGATTGATAGATTGATAGATTGATAGATTGATAGATTGATAGATTGATAGATTGATAGATTGACAGATTGATAGATTGATAGATTGACAGTTTGATAGATTGGCCAATTGATAGATTGATATATTGATAGATTGATAGATTGATAGATTGATAGATTGAAAGATTGACAGATTGATAGATTGATAGATTGATAAATTGACAGATTGATAGATTGACAGATTGATAGATTGATAGATTGAGAGATTGATAGATTGACAGATTGATAGATTGATGGATTGATAGATTGATAGATTGATAGATTGATAAATTGATAGATTGACAGATTGACAGATTGACAGTTTGATAGATTGGCCGATTGATAGATTGATAGATTGATAGATTCATAAATTGATGGATAGATTGATAGATTGATAAACGAAAAGATTGTTAGACTGATTGATTGTAAACTCAATCGAGTGTCTTTTTAACTATTTTTATCTAAATATATCTCGCCCATCTACATCCATCCCAGTATCTCCCGCTCACCTTGCAAGTTTCTTGTTTTATCCTTGAAAACAATGGCTGCATCAATACGTTTGCCCACCTGCCAGTTGGCAAGCTGCTTGACGACGACGACCCCATTCAAGATGCCGGGAAAGGCGATTGTCGAGATGCTGTAGCTGCTGATGTGCGTTATATAAGTTTGTCAGTCTCGAGAGTTGAGTCCACTCACCTGTTGTCCTGTTGTCTGCGCAAAAAGACGGCATTGACACAGACGCTCCACACGTGCAGCATGTCCTCGGAGAAGAGGCGCACGTCGTGCAGCAGGACGAACTTGCTCTGCATGTCCAGGGCGCGACTCTCGTAGAGAAACTTCATGAGCTGCTTCACCTGCCAGCCGTTGAGCAGCGTCAACACGACCAGGTCGCAGTCGCTGGCCTTAATGGAGTCGAGCAGCAGCCTGAATCGATGGGACGGCCCATTCAGGCTCTCGCTAGCGTTCACTCGCAGCATATAGAAGGGGCGGGGACGACGCCCCACTGCCTCGAAGTACGTCCGATCATAGATGGCCAGATGCAGCTCGTCCGTGATGACGGCGAAGCAGCGATGCACCTGCGCGCGCCACAGCATCCGCTCCAGCAGCTGCTTCAGCTGACTCTGGTAGCTGTCCACTGTGGACGTGGGACTCGCCCACTCAGTCCAATTCGCAGCCATCGCCAGAGATAGGCAAGTGGAGAGCAATGCCAAGTGCATCCTGGCAGCTCAGCACGTTTGGGCTTTCTGAACTCCTTTTGCTATGCTCTTTCGCCTCTTTTTTCGGGGCAAACCCGTGTTGCATGCCACATTTGGTATGCAGATCTAATTAAGCTCGCCTGAACCCCAGCTGTCACTCAGTCGAGTTAACTGCGCAGTCGCTCGGACGGTCAGTCGGGCGGTCGGCCTGGCAGTTGACCTGCTTTAGTAACATTTTAACTTAATTCCACGTGATCTAATGAAAGACAAACTGCTAAGCTGGGGTAATTGATTTTCACAATTTGAATTCAATTTCGTACGAATTTAAGAGAGCTTTAGGCACATTAAAGCGACAGAGGCAGAAGTTAAACTTTCAACTCCAGAAACAGTTTTGTTGGGTTACCCCAAACAGAGCAAATCTATTTACTTTTGCGTGAATTGGATAAGAGCTTTGGAAATTGAATTCATGAATAGTTTTATGAGCAATGGAGCTCACTCTACTCCCTCCCTATGTCAAAACTAATATAAAGAGTGCCAAACGGCGCAGTGTGGCAGTCAGAAATGGCAAATAATATTAGTGTAGCTGCTTAAATTAGCATTGACGAACCGATATTTCCGATAACTTAACGATAACTGTAATTGTCAGCTACGACCTTTATACTCTCATTCCATCAATAGTTAAATAGTTAATAGTTAAAGTCACAGAAATATAAATATTCTAGGTCAAAATTGAGAGACTTGATTAGTTGACTTTGTCACAAGTCCTACGACTTGATCGATATTTATCGACTTAGACGAGCTCAAAAGTGTTCAACTTCGTTGAGTTATAAAGCTCAAATTGCAGGCAACCAAGCGGCTATGAGATCAAGACGAAGGCGAGTCTCTTCACAGACAATTACGAGCTTGATGTATCCCATTTCAGTTGCGGAGAGTTCTCTGCCTGAAAGAAATCCCAAGTGAAACTCTGCACAAAGCTTGCAACTTGCAGTGGCAATTAGAGCCCAAGCCTTAGCCATTATGATTAATACGTTTTGTGAACCAATCCCAACGTATTGAAATGCAATCAAGTGAGCGGCTCGTGTCGCTGTCTGCTTAAATGTGAAGGCGAGACACTAATGCGAAGCGAGACCAAAGGCTAATTTGTCGGTCCGTCTTCATTAGGCGAGGGCACGGATAATCGTCTAGGCAATGCCGATCGAACGGCGGATGCAGACGTTAATGATAATGCAGATGACATGTCACCAGGAATCAGTCAAACAAACCCGATTAAGCCCGACCCAGAGACTCGACCAGAAGCCACAGCCAAATGCACATTAATGTCAGCTTAAGTCCAGAGACTCGGCCCAAAGAGCAAAAATGCGAAAAGCACAGTGCACACGAAAGAGAGAAAGGGAGAGGGAGAGTCTGAGAAGGAGAGAGCGGATGTGTAGAATACCTGAGTGTAAACCAGGTGAGCAAAGCAGAGGTTGAGCTTGAGGTTGAGGTGTCTGCGGCTGGGACTTCTGCTCTTTATTATCGTGTAATTAACTTTTTCCGAATCTCCGGATTTCGAATTGTTTGCACATAATTGCAATTTAATTATTTTCTTTCTTTTTTGTATTGTTTTTGTTGTTGGTTTTTATGGATTTATGTCGGCGATGGCCATTAGCCATTAGCCATTAGCCAGCGGCCATTAGCTGCAGGTAGCAACAGAGCAGGTAGCACGAACATCTCCAACGAGCCAAGCAGCGAGAGGAGAGAGACTGCCTGTCTGTGTGTGTGTGTGAGAGAGAGAGAGAGAGAGAGAGATTCTGTATTTCGTAATATTCCCGGGTTTTGTTTAGGTTTTGACACATTTTTCGTGCAGATTTGCAGCGTTATTTATGGGTTTTCTTTGAGGTTTTCCTTACACATGTTGCGTGCGTGGGTCACTTCATTAGCCACGCTTCTGTTTAGAGTAGTCCACAATAACCTATATATATATACATATATAGCTCATGTGAATTTGCTGGTCAGAAGTGTGAAATTGCAAATGCCATGGGAAAATGCATTTTGCTGCCACAGTTTTCCCAGCTCAAGTTTATGATTTGGCCAACAGCTGCTTAGCCTTAGCCTTAGCCTCTTCTTCTTCTGCCCAACTAAGCTCACCTGCCAAGGCATTTAGTTAGTGATTTGCATTGGCGGAAGCGCCTAAGCGACAGCTGAGATCATTCCCAACTCAGCGCTATTCCCACGCTTATATCAATCGATTCTGTCATACGATTTCAGTCTGTGCCTTTTGGCGCGAACGGGTTTTATATTCGATTTTCGACTGAATATATCTATTCATTAAATATTCGACGTATAATTCTCAAATTTGTGTTTAATGCCAAAAGCTCGTCTCGAGTCCCGCTCGAGTCTCGGGCAAACCTTGAGACGATGCTCGATATTTATTCGAGCAAACTTAACTTATTTCAAATTGAGTTGGCTTCCAGTAGTCACAATAATAATTATTTAATCAATTTATGGTCGCTGAGGATTAATTAATTATAATTAATGATTGAAGAACTCGTTCAGGCGCTGCTAGGGCTGATCATCTGTTTAGAAAAAGTTAAAGAGGGGAAAATATTTAACCATATTGAAATTGTTTTGAATTTTATTATTATTTATATAATTAATAATTAAAAAAGTAAATATATTTGATGCAAGAAATAAACAAGCTCCATAAGAGAAAAACTTAGAAAATAATTCTTGAAAATATTATTGTCATTATGCACGTTATCAGAGCGAAAGGGGTATATAGGTTTTGTGCGATGTTCCTTGATACCTTCAGCTGTTGAGGTGTTCGGATATTTTTGATACGCCCACTAGAGGCGTGGCAAATTGAAGAGTACTATATCACATGAATTATATTGAAGCAGAAATTTGGATTAAAGAATGCTGTCCACAACGCCTATTGGAGGCGTGGCAAATTGTGCAAACTTGTGTCGCACAGTTGAAGAGCTAAAATCGTTATATTATTCAGGGGGATCTACTCCACACTTGGAGCAATGCGACAAGTGGGGCTACTGTCAGGGGTTAAGCTTAAAATATAACGGGTATTATGCAGTCGTCGGTGCCTGACCTTTGGAATTAATACTGTAATACTCCAATACTCTAATTATTATAAACAACATTATTATTCATAACTATTCATCATCGGCATGATTCAGACTGCTCACGCGAAAGCTTCTTCTAGATCTCTACATACATCTTAATTAGACTAGCATTATCTACTATATATATCACATCAGCCCATTCGACATGCATTGCAACTTAATTGATAACTCTTATCATCGAGTTCTTATCTAATTTTGGAAGTTTCCTTTGCAGGCTTTAAGGAATTGCCTAGCATCGCGCAGTTTATTTATGTTAGAGTTCGAGGAAATGTCTTATGCTTATATAAGGCTTACTCTTCAGTTATACGCATACATATATATTTATATATATATATATATATATATATAGCCTGCTACGTCGAGGCGTTTCAATCAATCAACTGTCGAATGGAACTAAATTCATTAACCTAATGAGGCATTATTAAATTATTCACGTTTAGAAATGTGCCACAAGTCGAATGGGCAAGCACATTGTCCATATCAATGACTAATCTATGAATATATATATTATATATATCAGTATGTGTGTGCGAGTGTGTGTGTGTGTACGCATAGAGTGTGTGCCACACACTGTGTAGAAGCTTCTGTGTGTGCATTTTGGTTCATTGAATAAAAACTTAATCAGCATTCAATTAAATGCACAGAGCTTAACAGCAGAAGCTAGAAAGAGACAAGAGAGTGTGTGTAAGAGAGAGAGAGAGAGACAGCTAGAGAGAGTGAGGGAGAGAGCGAATAAAGTTAAGCCAGCAAAATGAAACGCGTGTTCGTTGATTATGTAAATCAATTGAGCTGCGAGATAAAAAAACATTTTTGCTGATAAATCGTTCTTTAGTAAGATATATATATATTATATATATGTATATATATATATATATATATATAATATATCTATATATACTTCGTTGTCTACTGATTTCTCTTCTTTTATTCGCATTGTCCCAGCGCTGACGTCCGACGTCTATTTTATGTTTCATATAATCAATTTGAGCTTGCTGTGCATACTGATTGCATGATACCCTGTAAGGCGCTGTGGGGTATATCATTTGTGCACTCTTTTAACGTATTTCAAGGCAAAGAGAGGCATATTAAACATAGTCCTTCAAAAGTTCTCAACTCTACTCGTTTCTCTACTTCTCTTGAATTGAGGTGGATGCAAGATACCCTGTAATTTTTGAAATTTTGTGTTGCTTTTAATGTCTTTTTACTAGCATCTACCGATGTCATATGCCATATTAAAGCAAAGAATTTTACTGAAAGCACTGATTGCGTTATACCCTATAACTCAGTGCGGGGTATATTAATTCAATTGCTTTTTTATCATGCTCCATTCAGTTTGTCTCCCATCTTACGTTCATCTGTGAAGCTGGAATACTAATGGACATGCTTATTGTCTTATACCCTGTATTTTATTATTATTTGCAACTATATGATACCCTTTACCATGAACTCTATTTCTCAAGCTGCTGTAAGACAAGGACTGTGCTGGGTATGCTGATTGCCTTATACCCTGTAAGCCAATGAGTTAGAGAAATCGTCTACTCTCTTTTAACAGCTTACCAATCTTATTTCCTTCTTAATACAGCCAACTGTGCTGCTTAATGGGCATGCTGCTTGCGCGATACCCTGTAACTTATACAACTTATTGTCAATTTACATCAACATTATTTTTTCTCTGCCTCATTAAAACTTGTATTATAATATACATATGGGCTGCGATATACCCTGTAGGCTTCTAATGGAGCATATCGTTTCTTTGCTCTTTAACAGACTCTCATATCTCTATTCTTGCCTTTATTTGTGAAATATATATGCGATGGGTCTACACTGAGCTTCAGCTGCTTTAAACCATTTCGCAATCTGTGAAAT